TGTAAAGAAACTTTTATTTAAAACTCCATAATGCCTTTGGTTTCTGTTACATTCAAGAAACTTGAGCATAATCCTTTGTATTTCAAAATGATCTACACTGGATGATTATAATCTCACTCAGAGGTGATATATGGGTAATGTATGGTTTCAAAAATGTATTTATCTGTGTCTTTCTTCTTAATCAAAGTAGACATGCTAATGAAACAGTGGACTAACAAATAGAATTTGGTTGAAATGAAAATCTGTAAAAGTGAAGAAAAAAAAGAAAGAAGAAAGAGATGATGATCAGAAATTAGAAACCATGTACTATGCCTTTGGACTACTCAACACAAAAATAAGCCAACATTCATAGTAAAGGAAAATGTTGTAGGAAATATGCGTCACAACTGTGAGTTCTGCAGAGCTAAACAACTCTTTATAGGACTCTTCTTACACCTGATATTAATATTCCCTTTGCATTCAAAATGCAAGTTTCCTATATATTTAACATTTGCAAAGGTCATCAAGTCATCAGGACTTACATTTGATAGAATCTGCTTCTATCTTCTGCAATTTGTAACTAAAGAGAACTATATTGCTTGTTCAAGAGTTCTATCCTTGGACTCTGACATCTGTCCCTCTGATGACTATAAGTTCACAATCTGAGGATTGTGGTTTTGTATGCTCATTCACCATTCTTCAGAATCTGGTAATATATTTGTTGTATAGCAGTACTTAATAAATATTTATGAATAGAATAAATTAACAAATGATGTATACACAGATATTAAGCCCTATTCCCAAGGTCACCTAGCAAGGGAGCTATAGAACTGGAATTTGATCCTTGGATTCCTTAACTTTTTTTTTTTTTAATTTGTTTAATGTTTTATTTATTTTTGAGACAGAGAGAGACAGAGCATGAATCAGGGAGGGTCAGAGAGAGAGGGAGACACAGAATCTGAAGCAGGCTCCAGGCTCTCAGCTGTCAGCACAGAGCCCGACACGGGGCTCGAACTCACGGACCATGAGATCATGACCTGAGCCGAAGTTGGACGCTTAACCGACTGAGCCACCCAGGCGCCCCAGATTCCTTAACTTCTAAACTCACTCTACTCTCTGCTGTACCATACTTGCTTTCCTAAGCTCTGGAGAAAGGGACAGTAGAAATTCTAATTGTGAAATATTTTTTCAAGTGTCAAGTGACACTTTGACAGTCTTTGGACCTGTCTTTGGACCTAGACTTTGGACCTAGATTTTGGACCTGCCATAGATGATGATCCTTCTGATATATTATGAGTTTGAAGAAAAGAAGGAAAAATATTAGAAGACATTATATCTTAAGATACAAAAACATAAAAGATTACAAGCCAAGGTCCTTGGCCACTCACACCACTTTCATAATGGGTTCATGGATTGGAAAAGAGCTCTCCATATACTCTCTACTCAGCTCTCAGCTCGGTCTGCCAAAGGGTGGGAATGTTTGGATTCTATCCTCCTGATGGTGCTGACTCATCACACAACTCCAGGGGGCACTTAAAGACTTCAATGCAATGGTGACTTTGGCATTTTGAAAGATTGCTTTCTGTAATGAGATGTTAAAATAGGATCATTTGTGAGTTACTTTCAGAATATACAGTGTCAACTACTTCTACCTTCTAGAGTGTGGTGTTAGCTGACACATATATTCCTTGTAAAAGATGGGGCCAATGATAATGTGACTATTAGCCCAATATTCACCTGGAGGGTATAAAAAATAGTGAAGAGAAGATTTTAAAAGTGAGAAACGTTTTAACTGGAAAAAGTTGTTAGTGATGTGGTTTTTGCACATGGAGGGAGACAAGAGCTCATTTTATCTCATTGCAGGAAGAATGAGTTCAAGGAATTTTAAGAAAACTGAAATCTGTAAGCTGACAGTGGTTGATAATGGACTCATGCCTGCTAAAGCCTAACTGAGGAAAAACAGTGCCTGGTAGCTGTTCTGGTGATAGATGATGAGGGCGGTTCTGTCGGGAATGACCTACCCTCCCAGAGTTCATTGGAACAAAAAATAGATGTTTCTAATGGACCAGATGGTGGTCACCAGAAAAGAGGAAGCTAAGAGTCATCCTTAAAAGACTTTTCCCAAAAGTCTTTTGGGAGTCTGGATGAGTGTTGGGATCCCAGTAAAGAAGTCTCTATGGGACAGCCATAGGGGAGGTTGCAGTGTGGAGAACAGAAGGCATGTTAAGATATCCAAGAGTGTAGGAGGACTGTTCCTAAAGAACTCAGAAGTATACTACAAAAAAGTAACAGCTTGGAACATCCACTGATCCTAGTCTCAATTTTTATTTCCTATTATGCCCAAAGGAAACCAATGTCAGATTATAACAGCACTGATAAAGAGAGAATATTCCTGGTCTTTGTCTCTCCTCAGTCTTCCACTTCAATCCTCATGAGGGGAATGAAGGGAAAAAAGAGAAAGGAAACTATGAGCACCAAACCTCATGGAGGCCTGATCTAGGGAAGGAAGAATCGTTAAGTGATAAATGAGGTTAAAATTCTTATAATTCCACAGGATTGAACATGTTTGTCATTGAACTGAACTGAACTGAATTAATCACTGAACTGAATTGTTTGGGGGATGTTTTTATATTATCGAAGAACAATCAGACAAACCATTGAGCCAATTCAATGTTATATTCAGTCACAGAAGAAGAACTGACATTCGAGAATATGTCTAAATGGGCAATGGGGAAAGAGCAGAATTCTGCCCCCCAGCCCTGCCCCACATAACATTCAGAGTCCCAATCTTTCAATGTCTTGGTTATGCTTTGATTGTTTGCAGGAGGGAATTAGGGGATAAAAAACTCACTATGATTTGAATTCCATCTATTCCCTTAGTCCGACCCTACCCTATGCAAGATTCCCTCTAACATGATTAAAACAACTAGTATCAATTACAGAGCATTTGCTTTGTTCCACGTACTACGCTAAGTGCTTTATGAAAATTAACTAACTTAATCTTGTTACCATCTCAAGGAGGCAGGTTTCATAGTATCATTACAGATTAAGAAATTGGAGCTAAGATTGGAGAAGCACTTGTAACCAACATCGCATGACTACTGAGTGGCAGAGTCCAAGTTTCAGTGAAAAATGTAACCAACTCAAAAGCTTCATCTATTAACCAAGAATCCACTTCCCATCTCTCAAGCAGATGTTAAGAAGACACTTGTGATAAAGACTTTGTTAGTCTCTAATTAAACTCTGAAGCCTGGGAAAGAACTAACTGTAAACAACCCATTTCAACTTAATTATCCCATTGCTGCAAGGGAAACAGCAGAAATCTACTCCTTGAAATTTCTGCTCATTGCAATTAGTTCTGCCTTATAGAACCACATTAAATAAGTTCAAATACTTTAATAAAGGAGAATCTTTGGGCTACAATGAGCATATCTCCTTTAAATCTCTTTTTTTCCAACTGAAACAACTCAGTAATTTCTAACATGTGTCATCCTTTAACTTGTACTTAAATGATACCAGATAAATGTGGCTTCCCTGACACTTGTTTCCACTAAGAGATATAGTACTTTGCTCACTGCACTGTACTGTAGGCAATTTAAACTTCCCATATGCAATTAGACTTTAGTAGTGGATGTTTATCAGCTGGTTTGGATTGAAGATTCCTCATTAGATCCTTCTTCCATCTAGATTTAAAAATATATATATTTATTTTTTGAGAGAGAGAGAGAGAGAGAGACAGTGTGAAGAGGGAAGGGACAGAAAGAGAATGAAACACAGAAGCCAAAGCAAGCTCCAGGCTCTGAGTGGTCAACACAGAGCCTGACGTGGGATTCGAACTCACAGACCACAAGATCATGATCTGAGCCAAAGTCAGATGTTTAATCGACTGAGCCACCCAGGCGTCCCTTCGATTTGGATTTTTTAATCTAGACTCCCCAAAGTTTATTAATGTATTTCCAAAGTCACTCCGATAAAATTAAATCTTGACTTTGCCCCTCAAGGGATTTGATATCTGTTTTGTTTTGATGAGAACCATGGCCTAATTTGAGTCACTTAAACAGTGAATGCTTCTTCCTTCCCCTTAGTGACCTTTTAATTCATCCCTGATACATTTGCGTTTGTTTGTTTTTTGACATTCTGCTTTGGATATAATTCCATGACATTCAAGTAGAGCATTTTCTGGATATTTAGAAACAGAGGGCTAGTATTGAGGGGAAATGTTAAGGGTAGGGAAACTTTTTGCATGTTCTCAATTTAGGGATGGATCAATTTTAAGAGAATGTGTAAATACAGAAAGAAAAATAAGCAGAGAAGGAAGACTAACCTTGGAAATGGGAGGGAGACATCTGAATAAGAGTTAATAATAATGATTGCAGGTAACTAATATCAACTTTTATTTGTTAGTTATTATATTTCAGACTCTGAAAACTGCTTTACCCACATGATATAATTCTAGATACAACATTAAAAGGTAAATATTCTTTTCCTCAGGTTGTTGAGGAAACTGAGACTTGTAGCTATTGACTCACTTGCTACAGGTCTTATAGAAATTAGATTGCAGAGGTAAGAGTCAAACTTAGAGTTGTTTTTAATTTCAAAGTCTAGTGTGCTTTAACCACTGTGCTTATTGCCTCCTAAGTCAGAAGGAGTCTAAGTGGAGATACTAAAAACAAATAAACAAAACCCACAAAGTCTCTGATGTGGAAGATTAATTGAAGAGAATATAAAACTACCAGATTTAGTTAGGAGGTAGAAACTGGAGGCAGTAGCAGTTGAAATTTCAGCAGTTTGGAGCAGAATGGTGGTCTTTACCTCACTGGGGGTGCTAGAAGATGCTATTACCACTTTTAGCCTGAGAATAGACCAGTGGTTTTCAACCCAGGGCAACCTTGTCCTCCAGGGGATATTTGGCAATGTCTAGAGACATTTGTGGTTGTCTAGTTGCTGAGTGCAAGAGGAAAGGGACGCTGTTGGCATCCAGTGGGTAGAGGCCAGGGATGTTGCTAAACTTCCTGCAGTGCACAGGACATCCCCCACAACAAATAATTACTTGGTCTAAAATGTCAATAACACCGAGCTTAAGAAACTGTGACATGAACTACAGTTACTAATCTTTATAAAACGGTATCTTTATCTATACTTTAATATCAAGTAGCACTATCATGTCTGAAGGGACTGAGATTAGAGGCCATGAGAACACAAATAAATGTGTTGGCCATGCAGGAAGAAGGGGAAAGGAATATACTTTGGGGTAGGACTTACAGCCGTGGAAGGAATGTGCTGAACATGTACATGCCATTGTTAATACTAAGTTCTGAGTTAAGACTGCATGCCAGCCACCCTTAGCATGGGTGGTTTTTGGGTCTAACTAGAAAGAATTGGCTTTTGTATCAATACTCAATGATTGTAGCAGATTTGCCTGTCTCCTGTGTTTTTGCTATTCCTTCTTTATGAAAAAAATCAATGTCGGTTTTAAGTTTTTAAAGGAGGATCTGTTACCTGCTATATTTAGCATCATGAAGGAGGAAAACTGCAATATTTGCTTTCCATAAATTTGCAAAAAGAAAGGTATTTTCCACCCACCGCACCCATTCCATGGTTTTCCACCGACAGCTGCATATATGGATATCCTGCCATATATCTCTGGAGAGAAGGAGAGCTGGAAGGTGTGGGAAGGCCCATGAATGGGGCCATTGAGTCAGCTATTCCTCGATGGGCAGGCATGATTGCTTTCAAGGGGCCAGTTCTCTTGCTGTGACCACATAGCTGGAGGCACAGCCAATGGATAGGCTTCACCCAATAATTCTTGGTTGATCCACATTTGGGTCAGTAATGTGGTGGGCAGCGTCAGTTGCAGCTCCAGGCTCCAAACGGCTACTTTCCAAGCTCCTTACAATCATACCCTGTTGATGGAGGCAACGGGGGAGGTATGAGTGGGAGAGGTGAGGAAAAAGAAGGAAATGGTTTCCATGAATTATTGCTAGAGTTTTTAGAAAAATAAAAGCCTGCTTTTGAAGAAGAGATAAACGGATCTCAGCATCATGCCACTCCCATTGCTCTTAGGATAAAGTTAAAACTGCCTAATATGGCCCACTAGGCTGGGCATAAGATGGTCTGTCTTGCTAGCCTCCTCCAGGGCTACTCTTTTCTTCTCTAGCCAGGCTGACCACCATTTTCATGTCCCTTTAATCCTCAAAGTCTTTGCAAATGCTATTCTCTCATCCTGGAAAGGTTTGCCCCCTTATCTTTCTCCTGGCTAACTCCTACTCATCTTACTCTACTCATGTTTAGTAATTGAAACATAACTTCCCTGACTTCCCAGGCTAGGTAAGATTGCTGTTACATATTTCCCTGGTAGCCCGATCTTCTTCATTGTGGTTATCCCAATTTCAATAGTATAATTCCCCCATTAGTCTGTGAGCTATACAAGGGTTAGGACATATCTTCCTTGGTCATCCCTATACCACCAGTACCTAGCCTAGCACTGACCCACAGTATCTATGACTGAATGTATTATTAAACAGCAGGTAATGATGGAGAAAAAGAGGTGGAAGAGGAGTAAGAAAAGGAAAGAAGGAATGGGAAAAAGTATAAAAGAATAAGGCAAGAACTCCATATGAAAGAAACAGTATCAATCATTAGGTTCAACTTCTGGACTTACCTATAAGTAAATGGGAGAATGGGGAAGGCTAAAATCTAGATCACCTGAACTAATCCAACAAAATAAACAGACAAATAAACACAATAAGTCTAGAGAGAGTATTCAGAAAGAGGTCAAACACCCTCATATTTGGAGTAGTGAGCTTGTTATGTCTCCGTGCAAGCCAATTCTTTGGGTTATCCTATCGAGTAGCCACATGCTCTATCTCCCACCATTTTTAAGATGACTAGGGGCATTAGCACTTAGCAAGCAAGAACTCTATGCCAAGGATTGTGCAGAGCACATCAAATACATTTTCTCACTTTATCCTCAGACACTACATATTGAGTTAAGGATTGTTTCCCTGTGACACTGATGGAGGAAATTGAGACTCAGAATCTCAGAAGAAAGCACACTGCCCTGGGTACCTGAAGACCTCATTCATTTATTCACTCTCTGATCCCTGCCAAACTGATGTCTTTTACTGATACTTCAATTGTTTTTTTTTTAACCTTTATTTATTTTTAAGAGATAGAGAGAGACACAACATGAGCAGGAGAGGGGCAGAGAGAGAGGGAGACACAGAATCTGAAGCAGGCTCCAGGCTCCGAGCTGTCAGCACAGAGCCTGATGCAGGGCTCAAACCCACAAACTGTGAGATCGTGACCTGAGCTGAAGTTGGACGCTCAACCCACTGAACCACCCAGGCGCCCCAGAATTGTTACTTTCTCATGGGAGGTTCTCCTTACTTCCCTTGATGGTCAAATCCTCTCTTGGAGGTTTCCATCTCACCTTCTTTGTATCTTTCACAATTTAAACTGGGCATTTTTGAGTGATTAGTTGACTACTATCTACAGGCAAGGCACATTCCAGAATGGATTGGCCTTGTTTTCCCCAGCCCCTGCATAATCCCTGCCACATAAAAGGTTGCTAGTAAATATACTTACAAGCAAATGGCTGAGATCCTTTTAGGGTGCACTTGTGTTTTGGGTTCTGTACTGGTCTATCTGGATACAGAGAAAATGTATACATGGCCTTTGATTTAATGGAGCCAACAGTCACTTGTCGGGGGGTGAGGTGGAAAGTACTACTAGAAGGAAAGAGAGACAGAGAGAGAGAGTCAGAGAGAGAGAGAGAGAGAGAGAGAGAGAGAGAGACAGAGACAGAGAGAGACAGAGAGAGAATTGAAATAGGTAAATAGCTTTCAGGAACTGTTTTCTAGTGAAGAAACTTGATGAGAGCTTCCCAAAGGTGAGAAAGCTTTTGTCAGGTATGCAAGGGTGAGATATGGTTAGGGAGAAGGAAATGCAGATGGAGGGAATGATATGAGCAGAAGGAAAAAAAAAGGAGGTATGAAACAGCACATGTGTTTGGCAAGTGTAAACAGATTGGTTTGCCTGGAGTGTTCAGAGCATGGTCAGGATGAGATCGCAGAGGTCAGATGTGGGCTACATAACAAAGTGGTTTTCATGCTTGCCTTGGGGGTTTGAGCTCTTTACTGCAGGTGATAGCAAACACATGTGGATGGTGATGCACAGTTGAGAGAGTATTGAATCATTCATCTGTTCTTTGAATCCACGTTCCACTGGGTCTTGATACTATACCATGCCTTGTGCTACTACACAGAAGAACATGGGTAGAGCTTAACAAGACAGATTCCCTCCTCCAAGAAGGCCACAATTTCTTAAATATATAACAGAAGTCAGGCCCTGACATCTACTTTGCCTTTTGAGATGCAGATGCAAAAATGAAACAACTTGAGAGCAATCACAAAGTCCTCTCCCACTCAGCACACCCAGAGCAAACCGGTAGTGAAAGACTGGGCAATGGTGTGAGGCAGCGGGAAGGGAGGGATCACCATAAGGAAAGAGCATGTAACTCCAGGAGCTCCTCCTGGAGAAAGCAGGTCATAGTATCAATTCTGCAGTCCCTAGAGAAGAATGCCCATATTCTTCTGTTCTTAAACATATGTTGCAATGTTTTTCATAACTCTGGACCGAAGAGACTCTCCATCTATAACATTAGATGGCTGCCCAAATTTTATAATCCTCCCATATCCTCCCCTTAGCTAACCTTTACTGGGCACCTGCTTTTTGCCAGGCACTCAACACAAGCATTTACTTACACTAACCTATTTAAATTTTTTTAAAGTTTATTTATTTATATTGAGAGAGAGAGAGCAGGGGAGAGGCAGAGAGAGAGAGAGAGAGAGAGAGAGAGAGAGAGACAGAATCCCAAATAGGCTCCATGCTGTCAGCACAGAGCCCGATGCAGGGCTCGAACTCACAAACCATGAGATCATGACCTGAACCAAAACCAAGATTTGGGCACTTAACCTACTGAGCCACCCAGGTGCCCCTATTACTATCCTATTTAACCCACTAACATGTGAGTTCCAGAAATACCTTTTATACATGAGAAACCTGTAGGAAGGATAAGAAGTGGTCCAGCACAAAAATGTGTTTCCATAAATGTCCTACAACAAAACCTGAGAACTTTCCAATATATCATATAGCATAATATGCATTGTAGTTTAGATTTAAGCATACTAAAACTGTCACTATTAAAATACCACTGAGTGTTAGCAAAGGAATAATCCAGTAATTATTATCCTTCAATTATCCATTATTCCCCAAGAAGTTGGCCTACTTCATGCAAACCCAACACTCACTTCTGAGGTCCAGGGAAATTCAGCACTGGCCCAAAGTGATAGCATGTTGGTGGCAAAGCCAGGATTGGGACTCATGCTTAAAATTCCTGTTGTCTTGATCTTGACACTAAGGGTTATATATTCTAATGCCAGATCAGATGTTTGCTTCCCATTTCATTTTCTTCTTACAGAAAGGTATGTTGGAAAGGGTGTGGGTTTTGAAGCCAGTTGGATCTTGGTCCAGATCCAAGCTCTACCATTGACTTACTCTGTGACCATGAATGATTTCCTCCCTGGGTTTCAATGTCCTGTGAAATGAAGTGAAAAATATCTTCCTAACAGGTTGTAATGAGTACAAATAGTTAGCACATGTACAGCACAGATAGAACAGTGTCCACCACATAATATAACTTAATACATGTTAGTTCTCCAGCTTCCTTTGCCAGAAGATGGAAGGAAGGTACAGCTGCCAGTGGCACCTGAATACTCAAGGGCACAATATTCTCAAAGGATGTGAACTTTCTTTGCTCCTTCCCCCCAACCAGGATTTATCTCTTATCCCTGTGACTGTTCCATCAGGTGGGGAGACTTGGTTGGAAATACTTTCTTAGATTAGAAACACGAGCTGGGATTCAAGGAATGCCTCTCCAGAGTCTCCATGTCAGCAGGCCTTTACAGTTACCAGGTGAGCAGACAGTTACTTTCTGGGTTGATAAAACAAATCCATTATTCATCTGCCCATAAAACTATGTCCTTTATTGTCAGTGCTGACATGTTAGTTTTATTATATAAGGGAAGGCTCTGGGTTGAGACCACCCTTTAGTCTCATTTCAAAGAGAGGGGCTTTTTTTAGAAATGGCAGGAATGGGCTGTGTCTGTTCACGGAAGGACACTTTGCTGAAATAGTGGGGCTTTGTAAGTCCCTATAGGAATGGAGGTGGCTGAATTTCCAGACTTGGATTTGGCTGAAGGAATTTCTGACAGACACATCCCTTCAATGGTGACTTTGGCCTCATTGGTGTCTTGGGAGCAGAATAAAACTTTTACATTTTGAGAATAGGAACCAGGCCCTCCTCTCCCCTACTTCCTCCCTCTTATTTACTTTAAAAAAAAAAAAAAAGAAAAGAAAAAAGAAAAAACTTCACTATGGCTATATAGTAAGAAAGTAATTAAGTATGTAGGAAAGACATGCACCTACTTTCTATATTTCCAGTGGAAGAGAACAAGATTCAGACACTTCTTCAGATGTCTCCAACCCTACAGCTTTCTAGAATTATGTAATATTTTTTTCAAAATCTGAGAAGTCTCCTTGACTGGATGTTTTCAATATACAGACACAAGTGATATCTTCTATTTTGTACTTTTCATTTCTCTCTAAAGATTCACTTTTAAGTACTCTCATGAATTTTTTTTAAATAACATTTTGACCTTCCCAATTCCCATGAAGAGACACCATTGAGTTATTGGGATGGTATTAACTGGGATGAAAGCAAAGACCATTAAGTAATGAAGTGTACAAAGTACCTGCTATGTGGCAGATATGATACTGGAAGCTAAAAGTATAGCAGAGCAAAAGAAAAGACATAGACTTTGCCCCTATAGAGCTACTTTCC